ACTATGTTTGTCGTCTTAATTACTCTGTTCTGGGTTAATTCTCTGTAATTAGACCAACAAATCAAAATCAGACACCGATCCAATCTCTTTTACTCGAAAGAGGCTGCCTAATGCACTGCCTGGCTCAACACTAGGCACGAGGGTCAGTGGTATATATACAGTTTGGGAGCATGGCTCAGCTTAGCAGTTTTTCAGATGGAAACGCTTGCGTGAGCAATAAGAAACTATAGCTACCACAGGAGTCAAAGCTCCCGTCAAGATTTCTTGAATCAGTGGATAAAGACAAGGTTTTTGTAAGTGAAGTCCCAGCTTCAAGTTGTATCAAATATGGCTGGAAGAGGCTATGACTTTTGGGGTTCCCATGGTGGCTATGCCTCAATGGACCCAACAACCACGAGATGATTACCAAAGTTTATCCTTTACGTTACTTAAATAAACTGACGTGCGGGAAAATTTTAATCATTACTTTAAAGGTTGAAACCATAGCTTACAATACAAATTATCATCAAACATCGACACAGTAGGAACATAAAAACAAACAAACAAGTAGCAACATATAAACAAACAAACAAGTAGCAAGTAAGACGACGTCGTTCACAGATTCATTTGCATATATAAACTCATCTTTAGACAAGGAGCGACCGGGACAACATCACTTCAGTGTCCATCTATATATCAAGTCATAAGTATGTCTCTTTTCAGACAAGGAGTGATCGGGATGACGACATCATTAGCTAATCCGTTTGCATTATTGCAAGAAGCCTGAGCCGGTCGATTAACCAATTGCAAGGCGAGATTCACATTGTCCATTACAATACCGTTACATGGTTTCTCCTTACTACAATCCAACTTAACCGCCACATCCGTACTCGATGTCCCGTGTATATCTTCATATCTCACATTTGATACTTCAACTCCAGAATCCTGTAACGAAATATACAAATTAAAATGGCTCAATATATTGAATTAAGGGTATAAATATGGTTTTACTAAATTCTTTTTTTTTTACCTGGTTAGGGCAAGGTTTGTAAAAACAATAGTGTTGGTCTATGATGATCGGGTTCTTGACCATTTTCATATTAATATGTTGAAAAACGATGTTTCTAGCAAAACTCTTGCTGTTTTTCGCCCATGTCTTGATCCTAACCCCATTACTAGTTGCCGTGAAATCCACGTTACTCACTGTAACATTCTCCACTCCTTGTTCGTCCTCTGCTATCCCAAGACTTCCAATACTATTTGAGAGAATCAAAAAATTAGAGATAGCTTGTAATAAATATATTAAGTAACTTGTATAGCAAGAAATGAATCTTTGTGTACCTGATGCCGTGGCCTGGACCGCATTGGATGCCTTGGATGGAAACATGAGTGGATCCTGGACCGATGGAGATGCAATCATCGCCGGTTCCAATTCTTGAGTTAGTGATACTGACTAAGTGAGATGCTTGTATGTGAATCCCATCGGTGTTAGGGCTATCAGCAGCAGCAGAAACTTTAACGCCGTCAATGTTCACGTTATTGCAACTGTTGATAACTATATGGAATTTCTGACTGTTTATCGACGTTAAACCGTTGATATTGATGTTATTCGACCCACTAAATAACAAACTCTGCAAAAACATTTAATAAATTTTATTAGTAAGAAAACGGAATTTATATCAAGAAACTTTATTTGTTTCTTGTGACTCAAGCAAACCTTGGCACCAGTTGGGCAATAGCTACCACCATTTTTCTTGCAGTTCCACAAACTAGAACCTTGTGCGTCAAGTATTCCACCATAGATTGAAACATCAGTGACGCTCTCGAACCAGATCCACTGTTCTGAACTTGCCACAATTCTATAATCTTCAGGAGCAATCATTGATCCAGCTATACGAATAGATATTGGAGCATCCGTACACTTCTTGCCTTGGAACACAAGGTTTCCGACCAAAAAACGTCCTTTTGGTACGATGATAGTTGTAGGATTAACAGAGGCACAAGCGACTTGCCATGCGGCTAAGAAGGCTTTGGTTGAGTCTGTTGAGCCATCTGGTCTAGCTCCGTAGGTTAAGACGTTGATAAATGTGGTTGGAATCGGTTTGGCTAGTGATGATATTATGATGAAATCAAGAAATATGAGAGCCAAAGGAAGAAGAAGAAGACATGATGTTTTGTAAACCATGTTTGTGTTATTTTTTTTAGAGAAGTTTTGTTTCTTGAGGATGAAGGATATTGCAGAAGAAGGTATGTGAGAGGAGAATTTATAGGAAGTTTGTGGAAATTTTTTTATTTTTTTTATTAATCTATAATTGTGTCAACTTGTACCCACATTTTGTAGAATAATATGACTGATATAAGAGAATTTAAAAATACGAATTATCCAGGAGATAAAGTTCCAGTACGACAGAATTGGCGGTAAAGGTAACGGTGTAGGAAACTAGATTATGTCAAACTGACAGAGATTTATGAATGATTTGGGTTTATTGAATAGCTAATATGAATCATTTGATAACTATTTAATTAACTAAACCATAAATTGGTATTCCTTTTTCTAGATTGATTAAATATTGAAAATGATGAAAATTTGGTACGTATTTTGTTATTATTATCATCCCATATGAACTAAGTTTGCTGTTCGTGATTTCACTACATCTTCATCATGTCTATCTCAAATGCATGTTCAAGTTATTAAATTTTTAGATAACTAGAGCAATATGTTAAGGGTTGATAGAATTGCATACGAAGATGCATAACTTATATTATATAATATGTTTGTTTTAAGTAAGCGTGAATAAAGATAATTAACAGAAAACACGTTATAAATTTCATGGTCAGTGGAATAAATTTAGTGGTTGATTTCTAGACTATAGGAAAAAAAACTAAGGGAAAATTGGAAAATAATGGCTGAGATTTTAGAAGAATGAAGATATTTGTGAACAATATGAATAGAAAACTTAGAATGATTCGGCTAACCCAACCATGTTGGGGATGCACATTCAAAACATTACATGAAGTAAGTATTAAATAAATATGTTAATTGTAAAATACAGGAAACATGCATTAAACAAAGGATGTATCATTTTCTTGTGGTGCTACGAGATACGTATATCGTATGCGTTAAATTTACACTTCATTACGTAAGATTCAGTTTCTTGATTTTTTTATACAAGTAATATCTTTGGTTCGTTTTGCATGTTCAATGGCCACCAAAATCAGTTTTGAGGACTACGTTCAATGAAACAAAAAAAATCTATATAATTTTCATATATAGTAAAGCTGACATGTATTATTACCAAGTGATAGTAGTTAATGTCTATGAGTATACTAATACCACTTTGACATTTATAAGTTGAATTACAGTGTCATAAAATCACTAAACAGTTTCTTTACGTAGAAGAAGAGTAAAATACGGAGCCACTAGAACAATACAAGCCTCATTTGTCAGACGAAACAAACAAGCCACCTTGGTCAGTTGGTTATACAAACACAAGGAAGTGGCGCGAATTTGAGGAGGCTTGTCTTTCAATATCTTTTGTATTTTCAAATATAATTCTAACTGCAAATATTATTAATATTAAACTTAACCAACAACACAACTTACACAACACATATCAAAACCATCAATGGTTGCAATGGACTATAATCTACAAAGCAATCAGGCTCTAGGCTCAAGCGTGCCTTTAATAGTATTATCGTTTTTTATTTTATTCAAAAAATTATATTTAATCAAAAGTCTTTTCTGTTACAAAGACCATATAATATGTAGTTCTTTTTTTGTAAAATAGTTCTTTAAAATTTGGAAGGTAAAATGAAGGTTTTAGTCGACTTTCCACTACTAGCTCTATGTTTAATTTACCATGACACTTTGTAATAGAAGTATTCAATATGGCATATATATATTTACCTGATGCCGTGACCTGGACCACATGCAACATTTTCAATCCATAGACCATCAGTTCCTGGATCTATCGAGACACAATCATCTCTGGTGGATATTTTGATGTTGAAGATAGATACGGTGGAGGAAGACTAAACATGGATATTTGATCAAAGATAATACCAAACTTGAAGTTTTTGTAGTCGTTGTCATGCAACATTGAAATACGACCGACATGGCGTTGGACTAGTGGTTTAACGTAAGGAGTTGGATCTATTGAATCCGTTTGATTTATGTTGGGAGTCAAAATTTAGGTAATGAATAGATATCAATGCTAGGTGATTCCAGACCTATGAGATGATTAATTAGGACTTAACCAAACTTCTCTCAATTAAAAAGAACATTGAAATACTATATATAGAGGCATAACTTATAATTTAAAATATACAATGAAAATTTGTGAACTATACTATATACTTCTTCCAAAAATGTTTAATCAAGGAATTGATAGTTAACGTGAAAGCTAGGATAACTATGTACAAACTATGTACAAGTAACGCGTGAAACGATCGATTTTATTATTGATTGGGATTGTTTTTATGTTTACTACTAACGCTTTTCTTTATATGAGTTATGCCTTGTAGCTGAGCTTATTGCTGTGAGTGGGAAAGTATTGATTACTCTTTGAGTTTCAAAAGCTTTCAGATAGACAGTTGTTTGTTGGTTGTATATGTGATATCTCCAACTTTATGATACATGGAGCTTCTTCACAGGTAAAAGTGATAAATATAAAGACTGTAGAGTACATATCAATCTGATATGTTCCGTTAGTGTCGTCAACACTGGGATTTGGATCGCATATTCTTCAATCTACAAAATCGACGTCTACCTCCTTGTAAGTATTTTTTTTTGTAAACTCTGATTTAATTGATATGATTTTTGTAATATCATGTACAGATAAGCAATGGTGCATGAATGTTCTTTTTTGCATCTCACCTAGCTGTCTATGCTGCGTACCGCAAAGCTACTCCAACGAAAACCATTCCCTTGGAGATTGCAATGGCCATGACGGTCTGAGTTTCATGTTCTTCATGCTTGTATCTCCTCTACTAGACATTTATGTCTGAGTTTCATGTTCTTCATGTTTGTATCTCATGTACTATACATTTTTCATGTTTGTATCTCCTCTACTATACATTTACGTCTGAGTTCATGTTCTACATTTACCTCTGAGTTTCAAGTTCTTCATTATTGTATCTCCTCTACTATACATTTACAGCTTTGTTTGGTTTTGGTAAAATCTTAATAACATTACCTTTTTTTTAATTATCAGGTCTCTGGATGATTTTTAATCAAATATCGATGTCAAGAATTTATTCACCTCCCCCTTGTTTTCACTGAATATTAAGGTTTTGTTTTTCTATTTTTGTATGTTTATATGTGATGTAGTGGAAGTTACAATAACACAAAGATGGTATTTACTCTAAGAATACCTAAGATATATGTCTTTTTAAAATCGTTGAGATCACCAATGATCAACTGAAAACAAGAAACAACAATAAAACTCCTAATTTTATAAATCAAATCGCAAATTGAATCTATTTATACGAAAACCAAATAACCTAAAAACTATTAAAAATCATTAAGATAATTCCAACTAATTAAGATAAATATTAAAATAATAATAAACTAGATAATTATGATATTTGGAATATATCCAAATATTTCTCTGCGTCAATATGCTAGCAATCTATGAAACTGACCAAACAATGTCAATAGAAAAATGAACTTGGGCTCTGCACAAATTCAGTTTTAACGTTTAACTAGATTTTGACCCGCGCAACCGCGCGGGTGTTTGTTTTCGTTTATAGTTAGTTATATAAACATTTTGTTTTCACTTGTAAATTGGTATATATTATAGTAATCACATATTTATGATATGTATAGTAAATGTTTTTCAAACATAATAATATTATATAATACGTGTTTTAATCAAATAGATTGTTTCAAATTTTTTAGATTATACATATTTTCAAACATGTGTTTGTTTCTTCTTCTATATTTTATTGTTTGTTAGATTAGTATTTCATTTTTAGATAAATTAATATAAATAGAGCTTGATTAAATATTAGTATACTTTAATTTGCAAAAGATAATATAAACTTTGAAGAAATTTTTGCTAAAAAGTAAACTTATAGCTTCCTAAATTAATATATATAAAGAATTTATTAAAAATAATTTTTTAAATAATTTTCTTTTTTTTTTTAAAACAATATAATCTTAAAAATTTACATCGAAATAAATTTATCTAGTATATAAAGCGTGTAAATTTTGTTAGGGTATATAAATATTCCATATTACGAATCTGTGATTTTTGTTAATATATTGTGGATGCATTAACTATTATTGACATATTTCCTTATAAATAATAGAAGATTCCTAAACTTATATCTATTGACATATTTTGCGTGACTAAGTTGAAAGGTATGGGGTAATTTACCAAAACCCAAATTGTTAAGAGTATCTTTGTTATTATAGATATGATTTTTCATAAGATATAATAATGATAAGATTATTAGAAAGTTAATGTAACATGACTTTCTACTAATAGTCCATTTTTTAAAAAATCACACATGAAGTCAAGTCATGACTTCTGTTTTAATATATAAGACTAGATTTTGACCCGCGCTTAAGAAGCGCGGGTTTTTTTTTTGTTAACCGTAAAGCCAAATATTTCGGAATAGATATTTTGATTGGTTTGATGGTGTTTTTAAATTTGATTGAGTTGATGGTAAAAGGGGTTCGAGATACCTTGTATTTATAAAATGAGAGGGTTGTTGTTCTATTATTTTATTTCAGTCTTGTAAAATTAAAAAAATGAATATGGTAAACAAATCTTAAAATCAAAAGATTGTTATTAACCCATTGAGAAGCGTTAATTCTTTTTTTTGATTATGCACAAATGGGTACTTAATTTTTTAAATTAAAAAAAAATAAACGAAATTAAATTAAACCAAATTTCATAAATAATCGATCATACCATATATCTCTAGAATCTAAAAATAGAAATCAAACTGAGAAACCAAATAGGTATTTAAATATTTTTTATATAAATTATATACCTAAAAATATTAATTATAT